TATCTACTTGTCTGTCTGTCTTTCTGACCTGTCTGTTTTTATAACAAGTCCATCTGTATTGTCCCTCACCTCTGAGCATAGTGTACCTCTGTCTGTCTGTCCTGTCTATCTACTTGTCTGTCTGTCTTTCTGACCTGTCTGTTTTTATAACACGTCCATCTGTATTGTCCCTCACCTCTGAGCATAGTGTACCTGTCTGTCTGTCCTGTCTATCTACTTGTCTGTCTGTCTTTCTGACCTGTCTGTTTTTATAACANGGTCCATACATGAGATACGACACTGTTAAACACGACATGAAAGAGTAAGGTCCATACATGAGATACGACACTGTTAAACACGACATGAAAGAGTAAGGTCCATACATGAGATACGACACTGTTAAACACGACATGAAATAGTAAGGTCCATACATGAGATACGACACTGTTAAACACGACATGAAAGAGTAAGGCTCAGGTCAAACGTTGAACTTCATATGAGCCGAACCTAATTGAAACAATTGATAACAAGGCGGTCTCCTTTGATGTCATTCCTGTCATTCATGTTTGACCTGAGGCTAAGCGCTTTAGTGAAGATATCAAGAGGAATGGGTAAGCGCGTTCTTTATCATGTGCGCGCAATATTTTTCATGTAGAATTTTATCGACAACATTGTTGGCAAAGATCTCGAGAGGAACTGTGTAAGCTAGTTCTTTTTTACGCGCGCTCTCATCTTCATCATCTCTTTTGCTCTGGATGTGTGCTTTAACCAAACAGTCTGTAGCAGCCTGCTGCGCATCTTTACAGTGGTTTTCATAAACCCGTCAAATACACTTAAGTATATTTAGCACTATACTTCACTCTAATCCATTTTTCTTTTTTACTCTTTGTTTCACGGGTCAAAGAAAACTGGTTTAACAATGAGCTAATATAAATGTAAATAGCTTTTTTCAGCATAATTTTAGCAAGTGTTTTACCTGGTATTGCCTTGTTCTTCTTGTCTTCTTTAAACCCTGTAGTAACGTGCGACCCTGAAGAGACTTTCCCAACGAGAGAGCCGACATTGACGGGTAATGATTCTGTAAACGGTATCAAAAGTTAGCTTACGAAATGTCAAAGAAAGTTTTGAAAAAAGAAATGTTTAAAAACTGAAAAAATTAGCCGGAATATTTTTAGATAAAATAGTTTATTTATTCGTTATYATATTAGTTTWTATWTRYATTAWAGCAGGATTATAATRAAGRAATAGAAAACGCRCGCGCGCCGAAATAAAAAACRCTACGCGTCGTGGTTCTCATAACACTTCTCTCGTGTTGTGTCAACACCCGCGTGCTTTATTAGAGCAGTTTTCGTTAGACTGTGAAAAGTTTACTTCCGTAGGCGTGCCGTGCCGTGATAGTGATGTTTTCTAGACTTTTGATTGGCTGATTTTTTCCTCGCGCAATGTGATTGGTCTGGCAGTTYCGTGACTTTGGCGTGACGCCGTGTTCATGCCGTGTTGCGTGCATTTGATTGGATGCAAAGTAAATTCTTCTGCAATGTGATTACCGCGAAGCTTTTCACAGTCATACGATAACTGCTCTACTGCACACAGAAAAGTAAGCAAGGTTTTATTTATTTTATAAAATAATAAATTATAGTAGTTGTTGTTTTGGACATGAAGGTAGTGTTAAARTCACCTTTCCCAGTGTCAGGATTTACGATTGCTAAGGACGTTGTTCCATCTTTGTCTCGACGCAAGAAACCAATCTGTATACACAAGTAYATAGGGGTAATTAACTGACCATAATTAGCAACTAGTCCTCGAGCTTGAATGGGGTATTGACTCATAGGCTATAAGGGCGATAGGACTAGTTKCCCTGTTTCATAATGATGTCACATCAAAACAAACTATTGTTTTAACGCTATAGGGATCTTGGTCGCTGGAGGGGATGGAATGACAACAACACGTCTTAAATCACAATGAAATTTGGTTTATGAGCTGGTGAAAGCAATAACAACTAAATATTACGCTAAATATCTCGAAAAAACAGAATGAAGCTTAAATTTAGCCTAAATTTCTATCATTTTAGTCGATGTAAACAAGCCGTTACGTCATGATGAAATAGGGCAATTGTTTTAGTCAAATCCAACTAGTCGTTCAAAGAAAATCATGCAAACAAGTTCATCCACTCACCTAATCCACTCACTCACCAACCATTCCTCTCCCATCCTATTCCATTCCTCCCATCCTATTCTATTCTCATATCCATTCATTCATCCCATCTCTATTATTAGCCTTCCGATCCATTATCCCAACTCAACCACTCACTTTCCCATCCTATTCTATTCCTCCCATCCCATCCTATTCCCATATCCATTCATTCACTTACCTTGCTGTTTGGATGTTTTTCTTTCAATTCTTTTGACATTCTCTTAGCAGCYTTTTGGACCTGAGCAAGGATTCTCCTCCCCACTACAGACGGTCTTGTGTCACTCTTGCTAAAACAAATAGTATGGAAAAAAGTATGAATAGACATGCTAGAAAATTGAAAGACTTCCAAGATCCTGACTAAGGGTTGRTCCAAGGTGGGAATAGATGCCCCCTCTTGAAACTGAGGAAAACCTTTTTCGAATTTGCTTGAGTGACCACGAAACATTAGTTCCAAGTTGAGGTTGGAGCTTAATAAAATACATTTAATCAAGCAAGCAAGCAAGCAAAGCTTAATAAAATACATTTAATGTAAGAACACAAAGTTCAATCTAAACTTGGAGGCATTGTTTCATGGTCACTCAAGCAAGTTTGGGAAAGTTAAACTTTAGGTTAAGATTCGATTTAGAGATCATTGATGCCCTCCCCCCTTTTAAAATCCTAAAACTCTGCCTCCCAAATGAAAAAAAAAATTGAACTAATGAATGTAAACATGAAAAGAATATCACATGATAATGATAAGTGCAAATGATTATATTCATTTAGAATGTGCACTTCATAACTATTAAACACAATTATTATTATTATTATTATTATTATTATTATTTTATGTTATTTATTTTTCATTATTACATCTTTCATGTTAAGATGTTACATGTACCTTGACTTAGACTTCTTCTTGGTAGTGTGAGGCAAGATAACCACAGCGTCATTATCAATGGTATCCACATCAATAGGCTCRTCAGAAAGTACACTGCTGTCCATATCAGACACTCGCATTCCAATACTACGATAAATATTCCTAATCTTATCCTGMAAACATGAAAAATAGCTTCATCAGCTTTCTTTTTGATGGGCAAACTGGAATCCAGAATAATAGAGTAGATTTAGTAAAACGACAACAGTCGATTTAGATCAAGTTTTGAGAAAATTCAAGGGAGTCAAGGGAGATGTAGCATTAGTGCAATAAACTCCCCCAGCCCTCCCCCCACTGCGATCCTGGGTTCAATTCTTGGACTACTCCGCATCAGATATGAGTAGAGTTTCATAGGTTTCATAGGTCTTGCGAATTGGGATTCCTGTCGAAAGAGACTAGGCGCTAATTAGGCGAGAGAGAGGAAAGGGGAGACGCATCTCTCTCTTTCTTCTCCCCTCTCCTCAGTCCCCTTCATCCTAAAGGAGTCCCCCTCWTCCTAAAGACACAGGAAGCCCAATACTCAAAAGGAGAGAAGAGAGAAGAGAGATGCATGTGGAGGAGGCTAGGTCTCTCCCTTGATTCAAGGATTTCCTCTGTGTTCTCTGGTTTTCCTCCCTCATCCACAAAACMTGAAAGCACTCTATACCATGCCATTAACAGTCACATGAAATATATTCTAAGATATATGCTGTGCTATGGCTGTGACTGTGACTGTGATATAGTGGCAACTCACATGCAAAGGCATGGACTCCATTAGCAATGGTTATCATGCTTAAGGCGCGCACCCAAGGTGCAATGTGACTGTGATGACAACTCAAATGCACAAGCATTGACTCCATTAGCAATGGTTATCATGTTTAAGGTGCGCACCCAAGGTGCAATGTGACTGTGATGGCAACTCAAATGCACAAGCATTGACTCCATTAGCAATGGTTATCATGTTTAAGGTGCACACACAAGGTGCAATGTGACTGTGATGGCAACTCAAATGCACAAGCATTGACTCCATTAGCAATGGTTATCATGCTTAAGGTGTGCACACACGGTGCATAAAATTTACAGTAGTAGTATTTGTAAGTAATTTCTACTTCTGGGATGTCACATGCAACATTGCATGGAGTGACACCCAAAAAACAGCCTTTTTAATGCAATGCAATGTTGCTGGCAATGTCRCATCTCGTGTTTCCACATTTACAGTCTTCAGGAATCAAATCTACCCCCACCCACACACAMATAGCATAGTACCTGGGTCATCATCTTTACACCAATCTGAAGAAGTCTCTTTGCTGCTTTGTAGTAAATAGTGTCTGGTGCATTGTAGATTGTAGCATTATTGCACATCAGATAGAAATCATCCTGTCAGGACAAAGATATTTATTCAAATTAAGACATAGYGATTGACTGGCTKACTGACTGAACCAAAGAACAAACAAATGAATGAAYGAAAGAAYGAAAAAACGAACAAATGAAAGAACCAACGAGCAAACAAAGGAACGAACAAATGAATGATATTGATGAATAGTTGGATGAATGAATGAATGGATGGATGGATGATTGAATGAATGAATGGACAAACAAACAAACAAAGGAACAAAGGAATGAACTAACATTATAAAATAATTGGGATACTACGCGCACTATGATTGGTCCAAAACCATGTTTGATGAGAGTATCAAAACACGCTATCGTCATTTTAGAGCGCACRAGTATTGCAACTGTCAGGTTTTAATCCATCGCGCGCACTCATTGGYCAGTTTGAATAAGACGGCACGTAGGGAGAATTTACTTAGACTTTGCTTTTTTTCTGATCTTTTCGCGAGTTTGTTATTTAATAAAAAAAATCAAAARCAGTTTTCCATGCTTGATACTCTGATTAAAACACTTGGGATGTTGGGAGRACACTCGAGAAGCTGGAAACCACTCAACTCCATCGTGGTTTCCTATGCTCCTCTTTTGTTCTACCAACATCCCGTGTGTTTTGATCAGAGTATCAAAAACTGTTTTTTATCTGTTAAAACTGTTTTTTATCTGTTAAACAAACAAACAAATGAATGATTGAAAAAACAATGGACTTTGACTAAATTTACATAGTGAATGCCTAGCCAGATGAAAGCACAGAATGACTGACCAACTGATTGACTGTCTAGTGAACYGTCCAGTGACCAACTCATTTAATTAATGATGAATTGAATGACTGACAGTCAAACAAACTCTTCGCCACCCATCTAATAGTAGATAAATCATAGAACTGAATGATATWTATTGTCAGAAAACTTACCCTAAAGGCTTCAATGGAGGCATACTGACAGTTATCAATCTTGTTCTTTATGGTACTGAAGTCCATGGGATTCTCAATGACTCTAGAATACCCTGGAGCTATAGCATCATTGACAGGAAATGCAAAGAATCCTTGCACGTCTTTCCTGTTAGGAAAAAAACAAAAAAAATTTTGGTGCTTGCACAAGCTTTGAAGATTAGTTTTATGGAATGCAATACTTGAAAAAATATTCAACAATGCCAGATCCTGAAGAATATCAATGATCCTGGATCCAAAAAAGCTATTATTCTGTCACTATTGTTCTCTAATCTCTCCTGAGTTTGCAAGAAACTGCATAGTAAAATTATTTATTAAAAACTTGGTTCTTCATTATCACAAACGATGTTCGACCATACCTTTGTAGGGTTCGATGAAGATTTTCAAGGCAAAGTTGTAATGCTGATGGATCTTTAGATTTCTTAACTGTGGACATAAGGAGATCAAGACATTATTATTATTGAAGCAAGACAACAAGTGGTGGGACGGTCATTAGAGCAGCTTYCATATGACTTTAAAAAGCATGAACATGGTCGTGACACAGCAAGGGATCATCAGATCAATCACATTGCACCAATATTTACTCTCCATCTAATCAAATACCTGAAACATGGCACGAACACAGTGTGGACAAGGTCATGCCAATATCACGGCAATGTCATGGCAATACCAGACCAATAACATTGCATGAGAAACAAATCAGCCAATCAAAATTCTAGAAAACATCACGGTCATGGCAAAGCACTCAAATGGCACCATGTTTTTCATGCGAAAACTGCTCTACATGTAAGTAGCCAAGGGCTGTGGTTGAAGAAGTTGAAAGAGGTACTATAGGGGGAAGGATGTTCAATAAAAAACTACACTTACACAGTGAAGGGGGGGGGGGGGGGGGGGGGAAGGTAGCACAATATATAAGTAATCAAACTGGCACTTTGAAATAACAGTTTTTAGATAACAGTCTGACTGGCTTGTTGTCGTATGTGAGTAGAGTTGCTTGTTGGTTCTCTCTTGTGCTCAAAGGTTTTTCTCCAAGTTCTCTGGTCTTCCTCCCTCCACAGAAAATTAACTTCTAAATCCCAATTGCAATTTCAGTGAAAATGCCACTGCTAAATCCCATTTATTTATTCATTTTTTYCATAGATAAGTGTACATGTAAATACACAGTTTTAGGTACAAGCAAGATAGATGTCTTGGCAAAAAGGAATCATGAAAGTATTATGTATTACCCTACCTTTTTGTTTAACTACTGGACTTATCCTAAGAAAGAAAAATAATTGAATAGAAAATCTTTTAATTATTGTTTTATTGATTTTTTGATGATTTGGTACAATATGAGAAAATATATGAGTTTTCTAAGCCATTTAATAAAATTAAACATTACTTAATGACATAGCATTCAAATACCTAGAATAATATAACTAATGATGCCCTAATTAAGAGTTCTTTTACATAATATATGAATAACATATAAACGTAGTGGATAMGAAATCTTGACTCAGCATCCTACATACAAGAATATACTTGAATGTTTTTTATTGCTTCGACCCCCAGCTAGTGATTTAGTCAAGGAAGTCTTCAACAGCTGTATAGGGTAGCATGGGTGGTGTACACTGCTAACGCATTGTGCATCTTTCAAAGCTGTGAGTCCAATGGGTTGGGTCGCTGGTTCGAGCCCCGCGGTCGCCACATGTGAATTGAGTTTGCTTGAGGTGTTGTTCTCTCCTATGCTACGAGGGTTTTCTCCGGTTTCTCCGGTTTCCTCCCTCCGTAAACATCAACATGTGAGTTGAGCATTGTGTGCATAGAACAATGAATGTAGTGGTAATGTGTGGGTGAAAAGTGTCCCCATTTAGTATAAAAGAGCTAAAAAATTATTTTTTAAATAAATATTTTACCATACCTTGGGGGTGGTTCAATAGGTTTGATATGTATCTTTTTTATTGGTCTTTCCATGTCGGCACTGGCATCWTCTCCTTCCATTTCAAACCTGTCTCGTTTCTTTTTGGACTTGTCATGACTAGACATTGAAACTGATGGGGATGGACATGCCTGCAATGGTATTATAATAGTACAAGTCAATTATCAACAGACCATGAAAAGATTTCTATTTGCAATATATTTTTACCCTTGAAAATGATTATTGCATATTCCTCTTGAACAAAGTTATTGGAAGGATTGGATAGTAAATTCCACAGTTCAAACATTCAAGCATAGTATTAATATAGAATATATAATAGCACATAGGTATATAACATATATAAATATATAAACAGAAAACAGCAATAAACATTAACCTTTCAACATATCTTTTTATTCCCATGAGAAAATGACAATAGCTATCTAGTTATTTAAATGTAACATCAGGGTCAAATTAAGTTGAGAACCACACTAGCCAATGGGCCAGTAGCTGTTCAGCACTTTGTAATATACTGTATAGTTTATTTAAAAACTGGATCTATTGGCCAGGATTGTAAGAGCATAATTAATTTTTAAGATGAAAATTAGGCTGTTTTTTTAAAAAAATAGAGAGCCCGTGCCTGCTGGTATGCATCATGCTTGTTGTATTTTTGAATATAAGAATTTAGTTTTATAATTCTGAGTATTTTAGCATTATTATAAAAGGTAAATTTGAAAAATCATTTTTCAAAAAGCGCACCCTTGGCTCCTGCATCCCCGTCAGCTAGCAACCTTTCAGCTCCACCAGTGGAAAAACAAAAATTAGGTTGAGCACTAGCTATAGCCCCCCTGGCTTCTACGCCCCTTTTGGCAATTAACCTCTTAGCTTCACCAATGATAAAACAAAATTTAGGTCCAACACTAGCTGATACACTTTGATTAACAATTGACAAAAGTGAATCACAAATAAAGAAATATGTTGTATAGCAAAAAGTACATACACTTGATCCTGGATCCAACTTATGTTTCTTTCTTTCTTTAGAGGCAGATCGCTTCTTCTTCTTCTTCTTGGAGTGATCTTTGATCTTATGTTTATCAGAGCTGCCAGTGGATTTGGACTCATGGTGCCTCTTTTTCTCTTTGCTTACAATGGTTTCTTTCCCTCCACCAACTTTGAGCACAAGTTTAAGTGGCTTCTCGGATGACTCCAGAGACCTTGATTTGTGAGATCTCTCTATATTAAACCATAAATATAGGTCAGTCAAGTTGTTACAACTGCTTTTAATGCTACATACTGATTGAGACAACAGTCACAATATGGAATTAGGCAATAAACATCTGTCAATTGAAAGTAAATAGTATGGTTAGTGTAGTTTCCCATGTACCTTCTTACAGTCCTTATATTCCTTTGTAATCTAAGATTTATTTGATTAGTGGCAGTGTATTGCCAGATTCCCATGTCACGGCTGTTACCTTGATCAGCATATAACAATGGAAACACTTGTAAGCCACCAAAATGTGACTAAAAAGGAAGATTCAAAGTTTACTACAGCCATTCACATTTTACCATTCACATGAYTACACCAGGGCAAAAATTAATGGATCCTCAATGGTCAGACATAATGACCACCCATATCAAATTGATCAATATTTGACTGGGCAATAGAGCTTTGGTTTAACAAGAGGCAATTATAGCCAGACATTGTCTGTTGACTGGTTATTATTTCAAGACCTGTACACAATTTTTCATTTCAGAGCTTTCAGGATAGGCCAGCGGCTGCCAGAGCTATGGCAGTTGCTGCGAAGTTGACTGCCAGCTACTTTTCCTTTTCTATAAAAAAATATCATTAATCTATTGGATTACAGCTACTTCAGACTTATGACCCCCTACTTCATTTGCTAATTTCAATTTGTAAACTTTAGCTCAAGACCTGTAGCTTTGCARCAGTTTCTGGGGAAAGAATTTGTAGAAAAGTGTATCAACTGTACTAACAGGGACTATCAGGATAAAAAGAGCATCTATAAGCAGAATAGACTGTCACTTTCTTTTGATAACAAGAAATGARCTTTAGAGACGTTTCCTTTGTTAACAACTACATCATTAATCTTCGTGAAAGTATTAACACGATTATATGAGTTATGAGTTTAGTAAAGAAACAGAAAAAATGAAGCTTTTACGAGATAAATTATGAAAAAGTGATTCAATCAACTTTTCTTCAATAAATTTTCAACCTAGAACCTCTATTTACCTTCACCGTCGGCATAYTTCTTATGGTGCTTCTTGCTTTTGTGTTTCCCCATATCTTTTCTTTTAAAATATATTAATTTAGACGGATTTAAGAGCCCTGTTTTGTTTGCTACAAACACACGCCGTCATCCGCCATTTTCTTTTAAAGCAAGAAAGGAGCCAGCAATTACTTGGAGTCTGCGGTCTGCTAGACCATATACACAGGAAGCCCAAGCTCCCATTTGAAAACCTAAAAAAAAATCACACTCGCGTCATTTGCTTTAATTTGCACAAACTTTCATTTAAGCTGAACCAGAATTAAATGAATGGAGAACGCTTAAATTAAATGATGGACTCATAGGGGTCTCGTTAGTAAAGCAGCTATTTAGCAAGAATAGTCTCGAGCCTGAATGGGTTATTGACTTATAGGCCATGCCTGAGGGCGAGASTCAAATCATTTCAGTCGGTCAAATAAACAGATGCAATTGGTTTTAAAAGCCTTATAGCCTAGTAGATGCTCATTAACCAATCAGAACGCAAACATTGATCATGATTGACCAAAACTGAATAGGCACCCGCCTGTTTTATTGCCAACTATAAATCATCCCTGCTGTACGTTTTTCTAAAAATATTTCATATCACTTTGCGGCATCACCTCGTAATTTATCTTCATTTCTAAAGAGCATTCATTATCCTTCACGACCGCTTTCATTTCTTTAATATCTATCTACAGTGTATATAAGAACCATTGAAGTAAACGTTGCCAAAGAAATTTGATATGTATAAACAATTGGTTGCCAAGTAATCCATCTCGTCAAAAAATATTCGTACAAATACTAGTTCCTCTTCTCGGAAATCAATATTGTATTAGACTGCATAATCAGTATGATAAACTGGCTGATATGACTCAACTAGAGCTTTTACTGTAATATTGTGCGCCAAAAAATATCCAAGTTAAGTTGATGCGGGCATCGAACTTTATCGCAGGAAAAAGGCTGTAGCGAGTACAAATTTCCTGCGATATTTGTAACGATTTTTGAAAACAAGTCACACAAAAAACGCTTTCGTGATTTGAAGGCTTCTTCTAAGAAATAGAATAATAAATGACTTGTTAGACATATTTTAGGATGCAGTACGTGGATTTTTCTCCGTTGTATTGTGACAAAAAGAATACTGTATCCATTGACAAAAACACTGCCCCCAGATCTCACGGTGTGAAAAATATCCATCCATTCTCCATCTTAAATGCATAATAAGCCTGTATTCTTTAAGTTCTTTGATGTTTTTCTAATAGATATTTCTTTGATAAAGTTCGATAATAAGAAAAGRAAATTTCAATATCTTATAAACATGGTAATTAAGATTATGTGGATTTTTCACCCTCATGAACGTTAATTTTTTAGCGTCAACTTTCCCAACTAATCAAATAACACCTAAACAATAGGAGGAAAAAATGAAGGGAAAAATATATTATAACTGACTCTCAAGCGCAGGAAAAAATATTTAGTTAAGTATARATCTCGTTCTGATACTGTTTAAGGCGTTTTGAAGACGGACTAGCTTATCAAATAGAAGCTACGCCGAATGAGCTATACGCCAGCATTGCTCTAAAAACAAACGAATCACTTCAGCATGTTAATGGATTCCAAGGGAAAATAAACAACAAATAAACAACTGATGGGCTTCCAAAGGACGTCTTTTTGTGATTTGCTTGTCTAAACGCATGAAAAGCTTGCGTTTTTTTAACCAGATATTCACATTTTCACATCATTTATAAAAATGACATATTTATTGAACATTAAACACGATATTCATTAAAGCTTAGAAGGAACATGAAATTTTCTTCAGACCGAGGAAAACCTTAATAATTAAGTCAAAAACATGTCCGAAATGTCTAATGCTTTTTTGGTTAAATCTTCTTTTTTTTTTTTGTTTCGAATTCCTATTTTCCGGTTCCCACCTCGATYTTATTCATATAAAGAAACCTTTTCTTATTTTTTCGTATTCAAATGTGAGCCTTCGGAATTAATAAATTTGGACTTAATAATCAATCGCAACACCTGCGATACTTCATCACATTTCAAAATGCTAATGGAAAAAACTTGTTCAGGATATCCATCAACTTATTTTTCAACCGGTTTTACAATTCTTTGATAAAACAGCTTTCTTGGGAATATGTTTTCCCTCTATCGCTACATTTGGCTTCTTTCGTTTAAGATCAATAATCGATTAGCTATTGTTAACATGATCAACTGAGTTCACATCCAACTTTTCAACATATATCCCTGCATCTCTTAAAAATCAGTAATCATATGGTACTGGATATATCGTACTTTGTTCTTTCGTTTTTCTTGGGTAGCCAGATTTAAAATGTAATGACATTGCACTAATCCGCTCGTAAATGAAAATTTGTTCATCTAAATGATGTTGAAGAGAGTCAAGAAACGACATAAAAACACAACCTGACTAGCATACCAGCTTTATATATTCTATTCCAAGCGCGCGTGCCCTTCATTTACTTCAAAATCTTTTGTTTAAAACTCGCAAAAACTGTCTTTGATAATAAGAATCGTCGGTACTGTCACAAACTGCTTTCTTTCTCATTTTTCCTTGCATAATGTCTTTATTTTCGGCAGCTGAGATCCCATCTTTACGAGCTACTGTTCCAGCAGTAGTTACTAAATTGTTCTGAGTCTTTGAAAACTGAGAAATTTTTGGCCTGTCCAAAATATCCGGAGAAATTGAAACACCATTGGTCGAGCTTTCGCTGTAGTACGGGCTTCTGTATGGAATAGGGGGAAGCGATCTCTGTTCGTAAAGAGGATCACTGTAGCGATTTGGTCTATGACTTGTATATGAGCTATACTTTTCAAGATCACGCTGCTCGGCCTTTTGATGGCGGTTTGTACCAGTTTGACTGGAATRATTCAAGCTTGTCTTTCTGACTCGCAATGATGGCGACGCTGAACTGTCGATTAGTTTCTTAGACTTGCCAGTTCCTTGCAYTRAGCCATTTTGTTGGGGCGTCGYGTTTTTTGTCGATGGTAAACTCAACTTTCGCTCTGGTATWCCTTGTCGTTTTGCTTGTCTACTGACATCGTACTGACTAGATGTACTCGTACCGTATGTTTTGACAAGTGAATTCTGCTTTGCGCTGATGTCTTTATTCGCAAGGTTTTCCTCGGTACCGATGTTGTTAATCAGGTTGTAACTGTAGTGAATAACACGATGGTTATTCTTGTTAGGATTAAGGATTTGTTTTTGCCTTTTTCCCAAGTCAATAGGCAGAAAATTATTTCCTCTCATTTTTCGGAAGCCAGCAAAACTTCTAGTTCAGACTTTTCCATCACATTATCAGTGATTTCATGCTACCCCGAGCAGCACTGCTTTTAACTGTACGTAGCACTGATGTCGCGCGCGAAAATCCCAAATTTAATAGGTTGACTTACGGCGAAACCTCAGTTAGATTAGATTGTGCGTATGTATATGATGATYCTAATAATGAGAATAACCACAGCTTGTGTATTGGGTCATAATAAGGAGGCCATCAACAAAYGTCATTTTCATGTGTCATTCAAAAATGCAGCTGCTTCGGGACACTGCTGCCGACGCTGTTGGCAGACGACTTCCGACATGTTAAACAAGTTGATAAAACAATCTATCTAAAGTCAAACATGAAAATATGTATACTTTATTCCAAGATGTGTCGTATAGAACTGGTATGCGCATCTTATTATCAATCAGCTTCAGGCATATAGCCTTTCCCCCCTTGTATATTGTAATAATTACAGTTTACAGTGTTTGGCCCTACAGCAATTCCCCATTCATCAAAACTCAACCGCCTCCCACACGAATTACTACAGTTCTCACAATAATTCACAGAAAGGATTGTCAAGACCTGCCAAGTCAAATAATAYTTATTCCTAAGGACTGTAAACAGAAAATTTAAATAACGAACGGTATTTACAATTGAATTTGGCTTAACTTACACTTATRCTACATGCAGTAATTAATGTTTGGCTAACTTGATGTTACTTCTATACAATATATGCTTTCTTTATATTTATATTGAGAATTTAGAAGAAAATAATGATTTAAAGGACAAATTTACAAACTACGTATTGTCTTAAGGATTTCCCATATTGTTTCTGTAATCAGTGCATGCACCGCTTTGAGTTTACAGAAAAAATAATTAGCTTATTCAACACCTCTTATACTGGCCATAAAAAAAAATTTTTTTTAATTTTTTATGGCTAGTATAAGAAGTGCTGAACTGATTATTTTTCTGTAAGCTCAAAGCGGTACATGCACTGATTGCAGAAACAACATGGGAAATCCTAAATACGCGCGTATGTACAAGGAAAGACGGTTTAGGAAAATATGAGATAAGAATGATAATTTCTCGTTCTTTATATATAATAATAGCTAATATTGCTTTAGTTATTTTGACTAATGCAGGAATAATGATTTATATTTGCCTGCCAAGAATAAGCCAAAATGAAAATAAGGAGAAAAAATTAACTTTTTAGAATTGAATGTTCGTTACTCGCGTTATATGAATCRACGAACAAGGTGATTTTTTGTACAAAATGCGGTTTACTTACTTATCTGAGTTTAGAAAAGGCGCGTTTTGCTGAATGGAATATTCATTAAACAAATGGAAGGAGTTGGAAATGGTTAAATGCGGACTGGAGTAGTGAAGGCGCTGCGAAGGCGCGGATGTGAGCAGAATTCAATATATGTCACGCGAGGGCGAACGTAGAAAAGCGTGCAGTGCAGCGTTCAATATGTTTGACATTGAAATGGTTTCCTCCATCTGCTAGCCTGGAGAGTTAGTATGGAAACATTTAACGACCTTTATACTGCACGTCTTTCCTATGATACGATCTGAATGGGATTATCATGACTATTGAAAGTTGCCACCGGGCGGCCGCGATAGGATCAAATTATGCATCACTGTCTTAACTAATATAATTTCTCTTATCCGAAAAAGAATATCAAGAGGCATATGAAAAATCTAGTGCAATATTTTTTGGCATAGATTCTTTCTTCTCAGAAAAAAAAAATCATATATGTTATACTAAAAACTGAGTACTGAGGACAAAGTAAATATTATTCCATCTTAGAGGCTAGAGCTAAAGCCTTCTTTTTTAAATGAAAATCTCTCAGTTGGCTGCCTTCCTTTCTTAATGAAAATCTCTTGACTAAAGTAAAGTCAAGTATGCTGAATTTGTATCTAATGTTACCTTAAAATTATCTTCAAAGTCGCCGGTGCAAATCAGACATCAAAGCACTTTGGAATTACAGAAAAAAAACATTAAAACACAAGTGTGTTGAAGACGTTTTATTTTATGCACTTGATTTAATTATCTATACCTAATGGCCGATGGCTAGCAGCTCGAAATATGGACTAGATTTGGGCTACTATATTATAGCTTTTAAAAAGGGGAAAACAAGAGACTAGAGAGGATGAAAAATATATAGATGAAAAAATGAAAAGATAAGATAAGAAACAAAGAAAGGGTTTGCTATCGTACTGGCCACACACAATGCATGACTGAAGAAGAGCAAGGTTTTTCCAGAAAATTCACTATAAAACTCTGAACTGTTTTGAATGAAAAATGAAGTTAGTTGATACAAATTAGTGAAGAAGCTAGGAGATAAGATCCTAGATGATAGATGATAGTTTTTCAGTACATAAACGCCTAGGAATATAGCTATAAAAATGACAAAAATACTGATCGTTCGTGAATAGAAATGAGAATATAAATCCCTGCATTATCGATTGTTTCTTAATTGACATGACCAGACTATGGAAACYGCTTCAAGCAGAAACAGTACTTCATCAATTTCATTTATATTGGACATWTATATATGTATATATAGAATATACAGTATATTTGAAATAGCAGACAARACTGGGAAACAAATYACGAATAGTGGTGRCAGATTGTCTAGCGGGTTTGAAATGAGATCARATATTGACAAAATTTATTACGGAAAAATCCATCATTTCAAAAATGACTAGATATATCCCCCTATTTATGTCCGATACTTTTGCCGTTGTATATTGGCCAATATTTCACATTTTCTGCTCCTCCAGGTATTTGAAGCCGTTCTATTTTTTCGTCTGACCCCAACTGTGCCTTTCCAGTGTATTTTTTGACAACTCACTCTCCCCTCCCTCATCCCTTCGAGACTTCCAACCGTTTCTCTGACCCCCTTTAGTTCCACYCACATAAAACTCCCAGGATCCTCAGCCGAGGAGTTTATGAGGATAGGGAGGATGGAGTGGATCAGTCAACGTCAAATGCAATCCTAATTAAAATTTATCGTAAAGACATATAAGTTTGGTTTGAGTGCCAGGGTACGAGGGGTGGTCTATTAAAACAGCCCGTTTGCAGAGGTGACCATGGCAACCACCGCCCGCAACCGCCCGCCCGTCACATCTAATGAGGTGGAGATACTTACCATGCCTTACACTCACTCCTTCAAAGTTATGAGAGGTGGGTGGGAGAGCAAGAAATATTCCATCGTTTCGCACTGACAACAACACAACCACAGGCARCCCAAGCTAGATTTCTGTGGTGTCATACTGATACGAAAATGTATGGCGATTCTTAAAAACCTTAATAAAATCGTGAAAATGTGAAATTAAGTAACTATATTTTTAGCTGACTTTTAAAAARTATTACCTCTTTCGCCCTGTGTCGATAGATTTTGGATTAAGCCAGTTTTAATCTTTTCCCTACCTGCCCCCTACGCGATGAGTAGGGTCTGGGTACGAGAATACTCGGTAGTAGTCTAGAATCGTCTAGAATGATCGATAGACGTCCACGTGATCATAAGCAGGCGCATAAATCTAAAATTATTACTAGTAAAAAGCCAGATTAAAAGCTTTCAAATTCTGCTTCTTGGAGAAAACGAAAGGCCAAAATGAGCTCAACAACTAACAATACACCTAGACAAAGGCCTGTGCGAAAGTCTATGAGCAAGGACAAAAGCTCCAATGGCAAAGGGAATGATTATGGAAAGAGGTAGGAACAACAAATATGGAAGCAAGCATCAATCTCTCTTGCAAGGGTCACTCAAATCATAACTAAAAACACCTGGTTTTCTTTGTTACTTTTCCAGAATCCATACTGAAGAGGCCTCCCTTTTTAGCTCGACAAGTGGTTTTGATAATTATAGAGGGATTCTTAACTTATGTCTTGTCCTTTTGGTAGGTCTTGGTTTGTATACCTCGGGACTCCATGTTTGTTTTTGTGACTGTGACAAGTTAGTTTCTAGCGCACTTCTTAATTGGTTTCTTTATTTTTTATTTAGGTTTTATCCAATTTCCGTGTTGCTTTAGATAACGTCTTAAAGTAAGTTTTCAGTTGGACAGCCATTGTTGTACAATTAATACAAGATTTAGACCTATTATAATACTATTATTTGTGATGCATATGTGTAACCTATTACGTCATCGCGGCCATTTTGGTTTAATACCACCAACATGGCTGGCTTGTTTTCGTATTTTGATCTCGTTGGAATTTTTGATTATTGCTGTTGTTGCAATTATATTACTGTGGAAAGTACAAGAATTTTAAAATCTCCATCCAATCAAATTGGTAATTTCATATGAAAAAAAAAGGACAAAATAACTTTGTTTCAAAYGAACCTTAATGTTAATATGTGAGGGACCACTGTAATTGGCACATGCTGTAGTGGTTTCYCAGCCATCATGTATGTATTTATGTAATTATTCTCTCGTGTGTGTGTGTGTGTATGTGTGAGTGGGTTCATGTGTGAGTGTTTGAATGGCAGAGCTAAATAAATAAATAAATAAATAAAATATAAAATAGCGGAAACTTGGCATGAACATATATGGATACGGTCATGCCAAGGTCACAGTACTGCCAGACCAATCACATTTTGTGCAAGAAAAAATCTGCCAATCAAAAGTCTAACAGACTTTGCAGTCATATGCAAAGGACCCTATTATTATGTTATTCATTTTTGTTAATCATTATCTATTAGGTATGGTCTCTTGATTGATCCCCTAGAGGCAGTTACCATTTTTCTACAGGATCCTTACAGATGGCCTTCAGTTTGTCTTATAGTCTGTAAGTACTTTGTTTCAAAATTTGAACAGTACTGTTTTTCCAATTAATGTGTCTTATATGCTCTTTTATATCCAACTAGAGTAATTAAGTATATATAGAGATACAATACAATACTTTATTAATTTATCCTAAAAGGGTTTTTCAGGACCAATTTATGATCTTACTGTAGTTAAATAACCAGGAAAKCTAATTTACAAAATAGTGGGGGAATAATCTGAAATTAAACAATTGTAGTTACTAAATATAATAAAAGAGTCTAATATTTTTACTAATGACAGCTAGCAAATCAAAAATGCTGCACATTAAACCAACTTTATTTTATCTCCTTTTCAGGTTCAAATATCTTCATCCAGTTCACCTTTTTCATTGAGAATTTACTTGCTAAGGTACATAAACTGTTTTCGTTTATYATATACCTTAGATAGTGTACGCGTTCTGATAGCAAGATTGCTGATGCCGTCTGCACATGGTTGCTCATGCTCTCTGAACAAGGTTGTTGATGCCATCTGCACATGGTTCCTGATGCCATCTGCACATGGTTCCTGATGCCATCTGCACATGGTTCCTGATGCCATCTGCACATGGTTGCTTATGCCATTTGTACAGGTGCTGCAAACTTTGTAAAAAGATGAAAGAAAGCATAAGGTACAATTTTAGACTACCCCGCAAATCATATGCACATACTTAATAAMCATGACTTCTATTGCGTCATTCTACGAAGAGTTCCGACAACTGTGTATCATTTGCAGGGTATTCTAAAATTGCTCCCAGCATAAAAAACTACGACGGTTTTTTTCTTAAAATTATAGCAAATTAAAAACAGGGGGAGAGGGGTACAAATAGTTTTCTGRATCCAATTTTTAACTTCACTTTCTATTTATAATTTATAAGATTATATATGTTGCAGTCCACTCAAATGAAATAAAACAAAACATGAGTACTATAYGACCCTGATCATGCCAGAAGACTGTTTGACATTTAAATTTTCTTTCATATTCCAGGGTAATCTATCAGAGAAAACAGGCTTATGTTTTCATATTTTCAACCTGTTTTTAATCCTAACTGTTCCTCCTACGGTGGTTTTGCTTTACCAACCTCCCTTATGTAAGTATCTATTTATAATGATGATAGAAGATTTCCGATAGTGATTATGTTAAGCTCTTCTTCACTTTTGCGTTTCCAATGCTCTTAGCTCTTTGCTTTCTGCTAATGAATTCTGTCTTGAGTATTTCTGTCTATTCTTTAATCTTTGACCCGGTGTGTAGAAGCTTTGCACCATTACATGATGGCAGCCATGACAGCGGAATTTCATTTACATGTGAAGGAATTCAGTTTTCCAGCAGAAAAAGACTCTATTGTTGTGTCTCCTGTCATGGCTGCCATCATGTGATGGTGCAAAGCCTCTTTATGGTATTCAATTATTATTTTTCATTTACAGGGGCTGCAAACATTACCCTACTTTGTTATTCTATGCTTTGGTTAAAGACAATCAGTTACATCAATGTCAACAAGTGGCACAGATTAGGATTAGTGAAAGAAGGTTAGTAATGCCAACAATACATACACTGTAGAGTTGATCCACTCTATGAAGACCATGCACCAGTATGTACAGTATTCAAACGTTTCCCCAGCTGATCTGAAATAGTGACGTAGAGATGACATCGCTGAAAAATTGGGGTGTCATGAAGCCTGCAAAATTTGGCCAGCAAAAAGTGAAATATRCCTGCCATTATTGCAATTAAAATATTAAAACATTGATTATTGTGTCACTGTTATCAAGCACTTATCAGCAACTCTCTTTTGGCCCTTTGGTGGCCTGGAAATCCATTGTTTTCCAGAGAAAAAAAGACACCTCAGGTTTCAAATTTTCTTGATTCTGATGGCTAAAATTTTTCTCTCAGATCAACTGTTTGCAATGATAAGACATGCWGGGTCGACAGTATTTTGGCCTACTCCCACTTCCCTTTCCCAAGATCAGTTCAGTTAAACCATCTTCATAAGGACTAACTRTGGAGCACCCTCTAAAGTAGCTTTATTTAATTTACCTTTTGTAATCAAACAATAAAAGGCTAGTTTATGCATGAGACTAAAACTGTGGGAGGAAGCAGGGATTTGATAATGTAGTTGATATTAGCCTTCCTGTTGCAGTCACTCCCTCTCCACTGTCCCTGCATTACCTGCCAGTCAAAAATCTGCTGTCCAACTTTTAAGTCCATGAACAGCTTGTAAGGCTCTAAATGTTTCTTTGTCCGCAGAAACCACAACAAATGCAAAGATGGAAGCTAAAACAAAGTACCCTGATAACCTCACCCAACCAGGTAAAGTGTAATACTTGTTGTACTGCACCCATTAGTAACTTGGTTAACTCACAGGTCATCGCTCAGAAGGRCCATTCGGCCTGGGTATAGACTTTTTAATTAAGTCCTCTGTYCCTTTTTTTACTGGTGGGACTGAGKACTTTTCATTTCACCATATTTATTTACTGACAGGTCTTTTCAACCGTGAATAAGCATTATCAAAAAATAGGCAATGGCAACATTTTTGGCAGGAAAAGGGAATGGAATCCCTGTAAGAAAAACAAATCGTCTACTCATGACTTCRTTGCTCCTAAAATGCTTGTTCTTCGTGCTCACCAAATTCTCCTTCTATGTACGGAGAGGGGAAAAGAGTGGACAACTTGTAGCAAGTCTAACCTGGGTATTTCAGTCAAGTCCATAAACCACTGCATACATTTTCTTTAAGAATCTATGAAAAGTTATCCAATTTTCTATAAAGAATAGTTTTACATGTATGTGTTTTAGGGCGTGTTTGTTTACTAGGTAAATATTTACTGAAGGATTTTATAATTTTCCATTTAAGATCTGTATTACTTCGTTTGTGCACCAACTTTATGCTATGAACTAAATTTCCCAAGAGTACCAAAAATACGAAAGAGGTTTCTGATGAGAAGAGTCCTAGAACTGGTAAGCTAAACCTGGAGAGTGTGGGGGTAGGTGTTGGGTTGGGGGAGTGGAGAGATATATGGGCATCCTGAGGCGATGATATCTTGAGAGTATAAAACACTACTTCCAAGGTATTAACTTTTTTTTTTTTCTTTTTAGCTTTTTCTTTTAAGTTTGATGGGTGCAGTCGTTCAACAGGTATTTAATTTGCATGAACAGTGCATGTCTAATACAGTAAACTTCCACATAAAAGAACCTGTGATTTTCTGTCACGAGCTTAATAGGTTCTTACATTTAGGATAAGTAGTGAGAAGTTAGCCTGTGGGGTTCTGATTGTCTGAGAAAACAGACTTCCCTTTTCTCCCCTCTCCCCTCGCAAAAGTAAGGATGTCTTTTTTCTCAGGCTAGGGTTCATAAAAAGTTCCTTGAAATTATTACTGATCAACTGTAYTTAATATTCATTTATTTTAATTTGACAATTATTGACCCTGAGAGGGCTAATAATAATTGAGCAATAATGTAAAACAATATAATTTATGCTTCATGGATTGGCTTTTTGTACTCTGCTGTGTGTTTCTAATAGTCCAGCACAAGTTCTTGGGTCTACACCAGTGTTTTTTTAATCTTTAGTAACTTTTGTATAAGAACCTGCTTCATTTGTCAGGCTAAAGGTAGGGTTATTATTATTATTTGGACGTGCTTTCTTGGTCAAATTTCAGCCTGGAGGAGTTTAATCTGCAGGTTCTTTTATATGGGTGTTTACTGTACTGGTATAGTTTTAGAAATGGTGGCTTAATGGGGTGAATCAAGGACCCAGAAAATCCTCAAGAACTTTCTATTGAATTTTATTGTTTTAAAAACATCACTTTATRATAAGCGGGTTGAATGGCCAGTTCTCTTATTTAATACGATCAAGAACCTTAGCTTATGATTATATCTAATGGTAAATTTTGTTTTTCCCTTTCATTAGTGGATGGTACCATCTGTTAAGAACTCTCTGAAGCCAATACAGGTAACAAATGCAACTCTTCACCTCTCTCAMTTGGTAGATGTATGTTTCCATTTCTGATTCACTTCATCTTTACATATCTGCTTTGTGCCAGGTGGAACAAACGTCCACTCCCCTAGCCAATTTAAGATTAAATTTCGTTAATTTTGTGTAACATGTCTTGTGCAAAAAGGCAATTAAGGTGGCTAGATACAATAATTTTGATGCGCGACTTGATTGAAACTTATATTTGGCCAAGGTATATCTAGTGCCATGCAGTTTGCAATACAAGTAGAGGGGTTGCGCTTCAAAATTATTGTATCGAGCCACCTTAATTGTGTGAAACAACCAGGTGCGGCAAGATCATGTAAGCATCACTCCATGTAGCAGAGATTACCAAAGATTTATCAACACACAACTTATCATTCTCTCTACTGACTGGGAATTTTGGGGATTTCAGCTCACTACCTCTACTGTTTTCTTTCCTATTGTAGCTGCACGTAGCTTTGGTTTTTAATAATATTGTATTAGTTTTTTTGCTTAAATTACTTTCTTTCATACCATAGGAGATGGACATTGCAAGAGCTGCAGARCGTATAATGAAGCTAGCAGTAAGTAAATAAGTGACAAAGGCAAACGTTTGACATGGTAATAGCTAGTAAATGTCTTTATTTAATTAATATTGTTCTTTTTTATTTATTTCAGATTCCTAATCACTTTCTGTGGCTATTGTTCTTYTACTGTTTTTTCCATACATATCTCAACATCACTGGTGAATTATTGCGATTTGGAGATCGCTGTTTCTATAGAGATTGGTGGTATGTTGCTGTCGATAAACTTTTAATGAGTAWATCTACAAAGCTTTTYGCTGTCGTATCACAGCGTGGGACAATCACAACAGAGCTAGGCTCCAAACTAAGTGAAAGCTCAAAGATYGAATTAGAATTTAGGAGTTGATTTTTGAGGAGGGAGGAAAACCGGAGAACCCGGARAAAAACCCTYAAAGTACAGGAGAGAACCAACAAACAACTCTACTCACATAYRACATCRAGATCGGCAGGACTCRAACTTGGGCCGCATTGGTGAGAGGTGGCGCATTARCAGCGCACCCCACCCGTGCTTCCTTGTGACCTTGGGAGCCTAGGTAGAAGTCAATATTTTCATATTCTTGCAGGAACTCTTCCACTGTTGAGTATTTTTGGCAGAACTGGAATATTCCAGCTCATCGATGGGCTGTAAGGTAACAAATTCATCTATTTTTTTCATTTTGCATATCCATCTATTGTGCAGTTCCWAAAATTATCCATAYCCMCCTCACGGAGGAATTTTTTAAGACACCCCCCTACCCCCTGGAAATTCCAATTTWCTTCCATACAAACTCTGTAATTTTTGTTCTTTCTCTGACCCCCCTACTCTTCAGAAATTCCAAATTCCTCTTTGGGGTGGGTTGTTCATTCCTTCACTCTTTCTCTTATCCATTTGTTTTATTATTCATTGATTTATTCATTTATTCATTTTCCATTTTCATTATTTTGTTCCAGACATCTCTATAAACCCATGATAAGAAGGGGATACTCCAAGCTTCAAGCGCAGGTGGCAGTATTTATGCTTTCGGCATTCTTTCATGAGGTTTGTAATTTTATTTATTCACTCATTAATAAACATGAAGAAACTCTGTGTCATAACTGTGAATATGTTTGCAATTCTCATACGACCCCACATTGATTTGCAGCAATTGGGATGATGAGAGAACACTTGAGAAGCAAAAACTACTCTGCTTCATGGTTTTCTATTCTTCTCTCATGTTCTCTCAGCATCCCTCATGTTTAGATCAGAGTATCAAAAATGGGAAAAATGTTTTACATACTTCTTTGTTTTGATATCCTACAGTACCTTGTTAGTGTTCCCCTGAGGATGGCCAGGTTATGGTCATTCATGGCTATGATAGGACAGGTATGACAGTACTTCAATTTAAATTTATGTGTACCTTATATTAAAAAAGAGTGGAGCAAATGTGCTGCAAAAAGGGGAAGGGTAATTACAAATTAGAAAATATTATACTCTTGGAAAGATTACAGCAACTTTCAATATTCTGGTTGAGTGGTCGAGTGTAAAACATTTTGAGTTGAGGCTCCAGAGAAACAATAATAAAGCTATACCAATATATATTTCTACTTGAGTTTGTGAAGTTGAATTAATGTCTTATGTCGTTATTTTCACCTACAGTGAAGGCATTTTTGATAAACGCAATTAGCCGTTTCATTAACAAAACGAAATATTTTCTCTGTTATATATTTAATTATACAGCTTCTCATTAATCCCATATAAGTAACTGTCCAATTATTTTCTTAATTGGACAGGTCTTTTTGATATGGGATTAATTAGGCAGCTATATAATTAATAGTTAATGGGATTTCATGCTCCCCAATCAAGAAATAATTAGACTTGAAAAATTCCTCTGACTGCCAAATKGGACTTGGCCTAAGGCCTCATCCAATTTTGTCAGTCCTCGGAATTTTCCTTGTCCAATTATTTCTTAATTGGACAGCATGGAGTCCTATTACATATACAAATTCACTTGTTTTAAATATACTAAAACAATTATTCGACTCAGGCTCAGTGAATATCGGAGATATCAKTGAATATTTACCTCACTGCTTGAAGACTTAGTTGTGTCTAGGTTAATATTCCCTGATATTTACTTCCCCTTCAGCAAATACAGTGTAACAGTTTTAAATATTTATKCCAAGTGGTTTAATTTCAAGGAGATTTGATATTTATTATTCCTTTCTYAGCTTCCAATGGCAGTCTTCATTAAGAAATTTATTAAAAATCCAAACTATGGAAATGTAGTTGTGTGGYTATCGATCATCTTGGGCCAGCCTTTAGCCATCATGATGTACTTCCATGACTATTATGTTAGAAGCCTACAGGAAGCCTAGGTATGGATAGTGACAACAGTCCCCTTCACAGTTCCTGCTGTTATCTTGAAAGGTAGCCGTGCCTTTGCATCAGAGAGACAAAATGTGATCTTGCAATGATAGAGACATGTGAATAATAAAAATTGTCCAAGGTGTTGAAAAAAAACTTTTTGTCTTTTCAAAGTCACCGTTTTTCTCGCTTTGATGCTAAGGCATGACTACCTTCCAAGTTAGCACATGCTAAATATGATATCATGCAAGGTGATAAATATATGGCGCTGTAAATTGCATTATCAAACTCATTAATAATTCATGAGGAAAACATGACATAAATCACAACTGTAAAGAGTGTTGTAAATCTGATACAGAATCATGTTCATTTGCATAAACTTTAAGTTGGATTTTCCTGAGCAGTTTCACTTTTATCTTGAAAATTTTAGTGAAACACAAAGGAACTAACCTAGACGTTTGATAAGCAATATACAGTATTCATGTCCGTGTTGTATCCGACATGCAAATCGAGGTGTAACCAAGAGTTTGCATATCGGATACAACATCGCTACTCGTACTGTATATATTACATAGTCCCACATGACTATTTCTCTATACATTCCTTGGCTTTAAATCAGCTTCAGCATTTCCACACTATGCAAGAGCGTATTATTGATCATGTATTTTTGTTTACATTTTCAGAAAACAATAAACCAGGAAATCAACTAGTTTATCTACACAAGGAAATCCTGTTATATATAATATTATCATGTAATGAGCCAATAAACTAAATTGATTAAATAATTATTGTGATTTAGAAATTATTATTAAGGTGTAAGAAAAATGGGGCATAACATCTTTGAAATCTTGAATATTTAGCAGGTTTTTGTATGGCAAGCATGATCAAAATTGAAATCTTAGAAAGAAAAAAATGCAAAAAAACTATTTTCTCAGACAATAAAACACAAACACTGGAAAATGTAAACACAGGCTTGAAAAATAGTTTGTAACTACTAGTGAAAATAATAATGATAAAAAGGTAAATTATATACCGTAAAAAGATGAAACTGACATTTCCGACGTTTCGGGCACTAGTCCTTCGTCGGAGTACTCTGACAAAGGACTAGCGTTCAAAACGTCAGTAAGTTTTTTCATCTTTTCACAGTGTATGATTTACCTTTTTATCATTACTGTTTCCTTAGAAACACTGACGCAGCTCACAATAGTTTTTAGCTAGTTATCTCTTCAGTGAAAATAATACATAGATTATAATATTGGTAGAGCATTGCACTTTCATTGAATATACTCAAAACCCTGATCACTTCAGGTTGTAATTCCTGAATTTTCCACTGTTTCAAACCCTCAAAAATGAAGCATTTAGTCCAATACATATTTTTAGCTCTGGAATAAATTTTTTGAAACCTTTTAAGTGTGTGTATGTTTTTAATTATTATTATTTAAATCAAATAATAACATGAGTTCCAGATGCTCTACTGCTCYAGTGCTTCTTGGTCTTAGTTTTCGTTATCTTGTGATAACTAAATCTATGACCAAGAAGCACTGAATCTAAAAAGCCTTTGCATCCCAGGGTTATCAAATAAAGGGGACCATTTATCATTTTTTTCAGGGGGATGGGGGTCGATGAATCATAAGAATTTATTTATTTAATTTATTTATTCAGAAGTTTGCATCATCCTCCTATTACAAATATGAAAACAGCAAGATAAAGAAAATGAAAACTAATGGGAAAAGGCAAGCATGACAAGGGGCAAACATAGACAAGAGGTCCCAGCTCTTGTTAATCACCAAAAAAATTCAGGCCCGCGCGCCAAAAAGAATAGAGGTATACCAATCTGGCCTTCCAGGCCCGATTATTGTGGGCGAAGGTGCTAATTTTCAAAAAGCAAACCTACCATACTTCTATTTTTTTATTTTAAAAAATATAAAAAATCCAAGGTACCAGCTGGTGGGGGGGTTCATTTGCACCCAATGAACCCCCCCTAAATCTGCCATAGAAAATTTACTACTTGCCATAGATCGAATCACTCAAGACTGGTAGGTAGTTTAAAGGGATTACTCTGCAGCGTCAGTTGAATGATTTTTGACCAGTGAACTGATTTGTGGAAAGTGGCAAATACAGCTTAATGTACACCAACTCCAGAGCCTACAAAGATGGTGGCTTATCATAAACTAACGTCCAATTTATTCTCTATAGTGCAAAAGGAGATATGAGATTAATCCTACCAAGAATATTAATAYTAATTTTTGGAATTTAGGRAGGAAAACCAGAGAACCYGAAGAAAACCCTTGAAGCAAGGGTAGAGAATCAACCACAAACTCAATCCACATGACACCAAGTCTGGTAATGGTGGGAGGCAAGTGTTCTCACTGCTATGACACCCCTGCTACCCTAGTATTTAGTTTGATCTCGGCAAAATTCAGTGTGCCTTCGACGAATAATAATTGTAATTTCATAATTGTATTGTAATTAGTGTAGTTATATCATATTTATAGCTTATATATGTTAGCTAGAGTTGAAGCTTGCAAACAGATTACAGGAATATTTTTGTTTTTTWATTAATTTTGATTTCGTTATAAATACAAAGTTTTAAGAACTTAATATTWCAACTGGATGAAAAGAACATTACTTGTACAAAGGCCAGCAATAAGATACTAAATTTTGTGAGATCATAATATGCTTAATCAAATCAGCAAGAAATAGAATAGTCTGACGTAAACATTAGTTAAAAAGTTGATTATAATAATGCATGTATTCACACAAGATGGTATCTATTGTACATCATTGCAAAGTTAAAAAATATGACTTYACAGCTATACAAAGTACAGTCTAGAAAATAATTATTGGATCACTTTTCTGGTTCATCTACTCCAGCTTGGGTCATCAGGTCCCCAATGTTCTTCTCAAGTTCATCAATGCGATTGCTCATTTCATCAAGTAAAAAATGTTAAGGACAATGTGTGAACCTAAGATTTTATGCAGTACTAAATCATGCATATGCAGTGTAGTTTACAGAAGTTTAGCTCTGTTGTCTGTAAAATACTCTGAGCATTTACAGAAAATTCATACTATACAACAATAGTCCCCTTCAAASTTCTTGGCACCATCTTGAAAGGTAGCTGCGCCTTTGCGTCTAAGTGAGCTTGCAATGATAGAGACGTGAATAATTGTCCAAGGTGTTAAAAAAGGTCTCTATCATTGCAAGCTCACGCATTCGTCTCACTTTGATTAGACTGTGAGCAGTCCCACTTTTCCCTACAGACTCAGTAAAGACAAGTGTTTCAGGATTGCTGTGAACTTGTGTGGAGATTTGCAAAGGCACATMTTCTTTTCAAGATGGTGCAGGGAACTGTGAAAGGCAGCATTTGTTATTACTTAGAGAACACTGTAACCACATCGCAAATACCTGCACCAAATGTATGTTAAAACAATTAGCATGCAACACACAATTTCAACAACAATCCAAGCAGGTCTATAACTAACTATAATCAAGAAAGGAAATTCAAGGTTTTAATGTCTTATCTATTCATGATTGCCTTTTATGTTTGAACTAAATTTTCTCTTCTTTCAATTTATCTATATTTTGTTGCCATTTTTCATCACTCACCAAAAAGTTTACTAATGAGTTTACTAATGCTTTTTGATGGAATTCTGTTTTTTTCTATATTTTGTTGTCATTTGAAAAAAAAATGTTTCCAAGTACAAAACACCCAACACGACGTCTACCTTTGGAAAATTCTTGCTCACATAAGCACTCACCACCTACTTCCTGAAATATTGCTCTACTAAAAACTACCATACCTCATTAGCTAAATCCCCTAGGAAGATCCGTTAGATTTCATGTGATGTCCTTTAATCGACTCATCTTGAACAGAATTTCAAGTTTTTCGAATGACAGCTTTGGATTTCAAATTTATTTACAGCGTCCTTTTGACATACAATGTAAATAAACAGTTCAATAGACGCTAAACGGTTACATGTTTCAATTTATGAAACACAAAAATGGCATCTATAATCGCCTAAAAATGAGTTCTGAAAACTAAGCTAGATCTAAAGATYATAAAAGGATATTTCTTGTAATGATCTGATCCGACATGTTCTGGAACTTGTCTTGCTGTAAACAAAATTCAAAAAGAAATTATCAGCATTCAAAAAGAAACTCATCAGCGTTTAATTCTGAATATTTGACTGCGAAATTCCTTCTTCGAAAATACAAATTAAAAGTTCTGTTCWACGAAGAGAGACTTACCATTTGAGTAAGCAAAGTCTGGACCTATGTTTTAGTAAAACAGTTAAGAGAAACAATACAAAATGTTGTTATTAGAATGAAGTTTGACATCGACCTCAGTTTTTACTTTCGTGAGAATTTGAATTCCACCGAAAAGTTGTTTAGTAAATCTGATAAAGTGTGCCCTATAAAATAATCAAAAACCTAACCAAGGCTTTAYCTAAGGTAAGGTAAAGGAGTATCTATCGTTAAAAGTTAAAAAGATACGAATCCAGTCAAATCGTGAATGTTTTCTGGTTCTTTAACCGAGGGGGACTTCAAATCCGTGTCTGCCATCTTGTTTGATCAACCCTTCCAAATGATGAAAGCACAGGAAGACCAACTGATCCAARTACGTTTTAGTTGTGACGTATTTCCGGGTTCAACTGYTCACAAAACCGCTAAAATAAAGCAAAAATATTCAATGACAACAACATATCTTAACAACATATCTTTTCATGAAGAAAAAGTAAGAAAAAGTCTTTTTACAGAACTGCTTTTCGTTTTGCACCCGGAAGTCGTTTTCCCTTACGATTGACGTCACACACTCTATATACCACAGGAAGACCATCGAGTGTATAAAGGGCCTTAGAAACAAGATGGCGGACAAACAAACTGAAAAAGTTTGGGACGTAAGAGTTACTAAAAACTTGAATTTCCGGGCCTAGATCGCCATGATTCGCTTTGGAAATGAGCAACCAAAGRCACCAACAGCACCTCTCGTCATATTTGAAGGGAAAAAGAAATAGTCCTTTAAAAAACAGCTCAAATCCGAGGTATTACAACTGTATAAGTTAGAAAATGTATACTTTATGGGGAAATTTATATAAACTAAACGCGCTATGAGCGTTCAAAAAACCCGACCCGATTGTGTTCCGTGTATCCTTAAGTATTTCCATCCCGGATTTCCATGTCCATATGCTTTTGCTATGCTATTGTTATTCCATCTCCTATTTTTACTTTTAACTCAATTTAATTTTTTCTTGTTTTCATTATTAATTAGGCCAGCTGGAAGAGGTTTGCCAAGAAGCAGTGCTACGACAACAAGTACTAGTGGACGTAAAAATCTTAATGACGAGAAAGCAGCGCCGGCACGACCTCAGAACAAGATAAAACCTGAATATAGAGTAAAACTTGCAAAAAATGCTGATCACATAAACAGGCAAGACTGCTTAATTTGATTATTATTTTAACAATTAAGAATAATTAACATCATTAGCAGTAATGAAATTGGACTAGGTGCCGAATGCCTCCATGAGAGATGAGGCTGTCCTGGCAAYAAGGAGGTAACCATGCTAACCATCCAGGTACCACCACCTGGCACCAGTCACGCTGACCTATAACACTTACCWGGGAGAGGAGGCGGAGGGGGGGCACGAGACAGTTTAAACTTTTATTGACTTTATCAGTCTYCCTCGCATCCRTTTTTAGTGTCGGTCAWCACRCAACRCTCCCTCGTTGAGTGACRACCRACACTAAAAACGGATGCGAGGGAGACTAACTTTATCACACCTATCAAGACATCTCATGAGGATTGATTGATATGATCCAGAATGATGGGCTCACATGTGGGACCTGCATAGCAATTGACCAACCCACATTAGCTTGCTGGAACACTGACCTGAAGGCCATGTCAGACATCAAGCCAGCTAACAATATGATGAGGATCACATTGATCCACAACAATGGACTCATGGATACACCATGCATGTCCATCTGAATATTTGAGATGGTACTATTAGGTGTTTATCCAAGCCATTGCCAAGCTAAKGTCTAACCATTGCAGATATATTTAGAGCATAAACAGCACCTTCTAATTAGATATTTTAAGTACTGGCTGTTGGTCAGACTGATGCTTGTTTAAAATCATGACCTCCTACGTARCAAACCAATACCCAATTAAACCAACTGAGCCAACAACAGAGGGGTAAATATTCTAAAGGAACTTAAATCATCTACTTGTTATTTATTTAATTTGCAGAACTCCAGATGAAATTCTGTTTAAAATTTTCAAATTCCTTTGTCCATCACAAATACTAGCATGTGCACAGGTGTGCTCTAGATGGTCACTTYTGTTACAAGATAGGTGAGAAAATATATATTTGTATTATTATTTGTGATTAACGGGTATTGAAATGTGTGTAAAATAATACAATCATTGTCTATTAAWTTTTGTGTATAGGAAACTATGGGAAGGAATTTTTCCAAGATTTCCACTTGAATTAAGAAAGTTATTTACATTTGAAGAAACAAGAGAAGAAGGCTTYGATTGGAAAAAGGAAATTATACAAAGGTATAGTGACTTACAGGACACTTGAACCATAAACAACATTAGCGTTTTTCCCCCAGGTTATTATTTCCTAAATTTTCTGCTGTTTTAAAACCTCTAAAATGAAGGATTGAATTCAAATGTACTGAGTGTTCAAAATAGATCTTATTATTTGGTATGCATTTTAAAAGAATGACAAAAACAAGAAGAGGTGTTTGAAACACAGTTTGTCCTCATTGCAATAAAATCTTTTAAATACTAGTGCTAAAGTTTGTGATTAAAATTCTTTGAGCTCAGTTTTGTATAAAGYATTCACTATCTTCTACCTATCAGTTTTTTATTTTTTATTTTTTGCCATTAGCCTTAATTTGGCATGGAGTTGATATCTGAGGTATGTTGTTTCTTTTTCCAGATGCATAAAAGCACGAAAAAGCAAGTTTCTTTCTCYCAAGAAAAAATTCAATCCATATACAGGGCTGCTAGCTGATGTACAGAAGAATTTAAAGTAAGTAAAAGGCATACACAGCATATGGTTGCWGTAAGAATCTGTTCATGAACAAGATACAGCTACTGTAGCTACATAATATGCATGTGAATACATAGGTATTTGTCAACAACACACTAAAGTAAAGTAAAGTAAAATACTTATATTTAATGTCGGTAGTTCCTTCAGTTGAAATTCAACTTCTATCAATGGAAGCCGACGATGCGCACTTTACTCCCCTCTCTCCATCAGTGCTCTGTTTTAAGAGCATTTAAGGCTGAAGCTACAAGGATTAGAGAGAAGTTGAAACAGCCGTGGAGATCCTAAGGATTGAACCGTGGACCTCAGCTCTGAAGGTCGCGCACTAACCAACTGAGCTACGCCTGCTCTGCTACCCCTGCTCCTGTAATAATCTAATCTAGTCTAATCTGATGATAAATAGGGAAACATAGGCCTTTTCTGAGTTCGATAAGCAGAATGCATTGTGGTTTAGCTTCAGTACAAACAACACCATATAAGGCATGATGAACAAAAGACGTTTGTACCGAAGCTAGACCACGATGCACTATGTTCTCTATCTCAGAACAGGTCTATGGTTTGCATAATGGTGAGAACTCATACCTCTCACCAATGCAACCTGAGTTTGGGTCTTGTTGGGCTTGGTGTTGTATGTGTGTACAGTTGCTTGTTGTTTCTCTCCAGTGCTCCGAGGGTGTTTTCACAGTGTCTCTTGGTTTTTCTCCCTCCACAAAAATCTATTTGAAAATTAAAATTGGAATTTCAGTAGACAAATAGCTATTCTGTAGAAATCCCTTTTCTTTGTGATTTTGTTTTATTTTATTTTATAATTCAAGCCTGGGTGTGAATACAAATTACTTAGTTTCTTGACCAATACATTTAACTAATGCCCTTTTCTTTTTATTTCTGACTGCTAAGGACTCTATCTATTCAGTGGAGATTGTGCTTCACTGACACGAGAGGTCAAGCCTACTGGTCCACAGCAGAGGAGACGACATATTTTGCTTCATCTTTGTCTACTCGATGGCTGTCCCTTCAGCTGCCACCTCTGACACAGTTGAAGGAAATGAAACTATTTGCTTGTGTACCAGTCTTCTTTGACAAGTCATGGAGGCCTCACATCAAAAGGTAAAGGATGAAAAAAATTTTCTATTTTGTGATTTCTATTATTTATTGAATATCTTGGCAATGAAAAGAGATATCAAAAAGATAGTAGGGGCCATTTTTATTTATGATGGAAGGGCTTTAAAATCAGGAAGAGATCCTGCATGCTTGATAGGCACTTTAATTATAATCATGGATACCTTGTGCTCTATGCGAAACCAATCTTTTCAAACCTTGAATCAACCTCTGGGCTGGTTGTATGTCAGGGCATGGATGGCTTATGAATCAATTTGGAATTAAACCTGTTGGGTTCTAGGGATTGAGGAAATACAGAGAAGGCACAGGAAATCCTTGAATCAAGGGAGAGGCATGGAGGAGAGAGAGGGCAAAGGGAGAGGCATAAAGGAGAAAGGGGTAGGGAGGGGCATGAAGGAGAGGGATGGAGAAGGGGTGGCAGGAAGTAGAGAGAGGGAGAATGGAGGGGTAAGGAAAGAGAGGAAGAAGAGAAAGGCATGAATTAGAGAGGGGGTGAAGGGAAGGGGAGAAAAGTGTTTTCTACTACTTCACCA